GGGTCACCCACAGGGCTAGTTGAGCAGGTATTGGCCTTCACTGCCCTTGAGTAAGCACCTAGGCAAGGAAAAGAATGACTACTGCTTGATGGGCTTCACGAGGGCTACACAGTACCAGAGGGTTGTATGTGGTTCTTAAATCTGAGGTTGAGAACTTGAAAACTCTGATGTGTTTCAGTGTGCATAGATTCGCATGTCAAGGGAGATAACATGGCTTTCACATCTATGCGTTCTAGATGCAATGTGATTTCCAAAAAGGTCCTGTGCGATGTGTTTTTGAACCCCATAGACGTGAATGGAAACAGCAGTAAAAACCGCATAGATTTTCAAATGCAATGCGATTTCAGTGTGAGATACACCTATTTCTAATGTCACAAACTAAGCCAGAACATAAATTGCAGTGGTGTAAAATCGCATCAGAATTGCAGCAGAGTCTTGGCAGAATTGCACAGCAACTGCTCCTGCAATTGCATTTGAAAACACATAGAAATCGCACTGCATCAGTGTGAACCAGGGTTAGAAAAAAAAGTTTTGCCTTTAGTTATACTACTTTAAGTGAACACACTTTTGGTGATTTAGTAACTATTTAAGCGTACTTTCGTGTTCTTTTCTGTTTCTAAATCCATAGCAGATATTTATTTTATCTCCAGCATTTTTGTGTCTTACCAGTCTATGCATGTTCTGGTATAATATTTACTGAAAGTATTCAGAAGGAATTACCGTATGTATTCAAACGTATGTTTTGAGCAGTTCTTCATCTCCTTTGGAAACTTTGTATTGTGTTAGAAACCAGCAAAAAGTAGACACATAGATCCGTAGTATGGGGGTAACTCATAAATGTCTGTTATCTTTTCAGATTTGAGTCATATATTTAGGAAAAATGACTCACTGCTTGTCCTAATTAAAGGGAAAATCCACAATAATCTCTTACAACATAAATGGAAATTACTTGAGAAGTAGAGAACAATGCAGACTGCAGTCATACATGTCCAAATTCAAGTGAGTTCAAAAATCAAAGTCCCCTGCCTTGATCTGCCCAAGTGTTAGAGGATTTCCTGAAGCCTACTGTGGAAGTCGCATAAAAAACATAAATGCAAACTGCAAGAGCTGTAGTTATTCAAGCCAGGATACCAAAGAAGTACAACAGAGGGTCAGGATGATGACCAGCTATGTCATTTACATACTACACGTCTGTTTTATTGTTTCAGTTAAGAACTTAATGGACAGCACCTAGGTAATGCTGTAGTGCTTTTAAAGCTAAACTCCAAGCAGATATAAAAAATAACGTGGTTATCTGGTAAAGGGTATAACTAAAACCTTTTTTTCTGCACGGAATTTGAACATTAAATGTAAATTAGAACCCCATTCGCACTGTGTGTGTCCTTGTTTGTTTGCTATGTGCATTGCCCTTCCATGTGCACATTACTGCTAAGACTGGTTATAGGTTAGGACAAAAAATGGCAACCGATCCAGCCTATAACCAGCCTTAGCAGTAATGTGCACATGGAAGGGCAATGCACATCGCAAACAAAGGATTTCCCGGCAACACTTACCAGCCAGCCTGCGACACAACCAATTTGGCCCTGTCTAACAATTTGCGTAAAAACAGAGGGTTTTATGTGCACACATTTGCAAATACATGCATAAGCCACAGTCCCATGTCAAGGGTCCTCTGTATACTGATGGGGAGATTGGCCCTCTCTACTTGTCCTGTTACCTTACATCACTAAAACAGAAAGTGATAAAGAATCCAAAATGCTATAGTTTTCACCAGAACAGGGGGTGTTGGGAAATATTACAATGGAGATACCTGTAGCCCAAAACAATGAAAATGGTACCGCTCAAATGCCCCCTAAACCTGTGTCAGCCAGATCAGCATGTGAATAGACTGGTGCAAGACAGACAGGATCAGCTTGTCAGGCTCTAGTATACTTCCGCACCGTCTGCATACAGACACCAACTCCCTGTTGCATAAATATGAATACAACTACCATAGATCTATATGAATTGGGGCAAACATAGATCTATACGCAGACAAAAACTTAACAAAAACCACAAAAAAAACCAAAAAACATATATACATTAAAAAAAGGGCAGACTCGATGGACCACTTCTTTCCTGTGCCGTAACTTTTCTATGTTTCTATGAGATGGGGTAAAAGATGGGTTCAGATCCTGTTCTCCACCTGTAGAGAACTCCGCAGACATGTTTCGCCCTATTTGGGGTTTAATTGTATAAGCCTCTACAATTAATCCCTCAAAAAGGGCAAAAAGCACCTGAGCAGCTCTCTAGAGGTGGAGAACATCATGTATCATCTCCATGACTGGAAGTGAAGGGAAATCTCCCCACTGGAACAATGGGGGTTTTGACCCTACCCTATCTAGAATGTTAAAAAAGTTTGGGGTATACATACTGTATACTTTAAACATAATTAAATGAATTTTTTAAATGCAACTCTGTGAATTTTCTAGTATTGGTCTTATGTATGTATGATTGTTCATTACACATTTGCACTGTGCTTCTTGCCTAGTAGTGCAGAGCAACATCTGCAATTTATGGTGTCTCCAACATTAGATGCTGGTTAACCAGAGATGTGACCTACATTTGAATAGCCACTCTGCATTACTATATTTTGAACAATGGTATTATTCTTTGCACTGAATAATCTAGTATGTACATTTTGTTGTAATTTCTCTTTCTTACAAAATTCAACAATAATATTGACTGTGCTGCCTGTCCCACATCAAACCACCATAGGAAAAACTACTGTATATAAATTATAATCATGAAGGCACAGTGTGTGAAAGACAAAATGGTACATTTATTTCTTTAACATTGAAGTAGGTTTCATTTTAACAGAAAGATTATTCCCAAAAAATAAAGCAGACTGCTTTCAGTAAACTCTGTGTAACAGAGTAATGCCCAATGCACATGGGTGCTTTTGGGGATACAACATAATTTGTATATTTTGATTTCCAGGATACACAGCTGCTAAGTATAGTCACCCATGCCTATGGGTGCACTGGCAGACATCAAAGTCCAAGGGTGTATGACTTTACACATATGCGGATTTGTGAAGGTAGCGAAGAAAATTCTCATACTACTATACATTACTTGCAGGCAGTTTGGTCTAACAGGCTGAAAATTTGCAAAAACATCACACCTGAATCCAAACACTATGAAAGTCAATGGTGTCAAAATTTGAGTAAGCTGTATCTGCTGCACTCCCACTGGTCCCAGCTCTGAAAAGATCCCAACAATGTTGGGATCCACCTAGATGCTTGACAGCTAGCTCAGCTTGTCAGCATGCTGATGAAAGCCTGAACCAGTTACTCCCGCCCCCACCACAGCCCAGTGTTCCAATGAGCGCTGGAAGGGCAGAGCAGAGATCAGTGACTGACAGTCACTGCTCTCTGCTCACTCAAAACTGAGAGAACTAAGTGATCAGCATGTGATTGCTCAGTTCTCGGTGTTAGAGCCAGTAGGGGACAGTTCCTACAGCAGATCAATGCTTCCGCCACATTGGTGAGTATGGAGCTTTGTTGTTTTGTTTTTCAATCTTTTAACTCGTGTAATCCTGTACTCTTTTCCCTGGGCAGGGGAAGATTCCACAATAAATCCCTCATTTTACTATTACCCCCTTTTTGGGACAACCTGATGGTGGGGAAGAAACCACTGTGCCTCAACATTGGGACAAAAGTACTTTGAAATAGGGAAAGGCTTTGCCATCCCCCTTGCAAGGTATACTCCCAATGTTGAAAGGTAAATTACCTGGTATAGCAGAGGAAGGTGAGGATGCTTGCTGATTGGCTAAGGAAAATGTGTACTGGTCAAAAACAGGTGAAAAGCATACAGAACCAATTTTCAGTCTCAAACAGATTTTCTATCATCCCTGCCAAAAGAGTAGAAAAGTGAACTGTTGGTGGTAGGTTGTCATGATCCATTAGATTTTTCTTTTGTGAAAGCTGGTTCAAAGTGGTTGGAATTACAATAATAATACCTAGTGCCTGCCCATCATAAAGCCTTATATGTCTTACCCTAGGGTGACAATTCTCACTTACTGTTTTGTATCTACAATTGAGTAGCGTTATCACGCTTAAGATTTTGGTGCAGCAGTGCATGGTAAGTGAGGAGCTCCTTGGATTTCTGACAGAGTTAACAGGTATTTTTCTGTGTTTGCAGTGTATTTAAAGACACAAAACATGAGGAAATGTGCATATATTGAAGATGTGTACTGAATAAATATCAGATTATTGTTAGAGATATACAGGCAGAATTAATACAAGTCTGTTCATTCTTTTTCAATGTGAACCCCAAGTATTAGTGTGACATGGTAAGACATAAATGTCAGTTTAGCCATTACAGATCTAACATAATATGGGCAGCATATGGCATACCTTTGTGAAACAATTTAACAAAATTCAAAATACCCTACCACTTAGATAGATAATCACAGAGTTGCTGCACAAGTAACTCTCTACCATTTCAACAAAGGCTTCATCACGTAGACCTAGCAAGGCAAGACATATTTTGTACAACTACATATTACTGATATTTTATGACACCCTGATTTCTCACAAATACAGACTCCAGTGCAGAGCAGTGCTGGAATTTAGCCAGTTCGAAAATTTTTATGTGTGGCCCATCCTTAGGAACAAATTAAACCAACTGATTCATTTGTCTGTTTCTGCACTTTCCTTAGTATAACATTAATACTGTTTTATGGGATAGACGCTGCCAGAAATAAATTATAACATTTTTTGTTTTAGGTGTGTGAGACATTTTACAGCTAAAATTATGAACAAAGTGGGACAGTGCCAAATCTTAGAAGCTAATAAAAGGGTCTTCCTAGTTTACTGTTGACCAAGCCCATATCAGCACCTGTATAAAAAGGTCTAGTCACCACTAGATGCCAACAGAGCCAGATCTGACATTGGCCGCTGTTCATTCTACTTCCAAGAGAATTCACTGTTGTTCAACAGCAAATTTGTCAAGACAACATGGCACACAAACAATATAAATCTGCAGTTAGGAACTTCAGCTCGTCATCTTTATGTGCACCTGGAAATGCCAGTGGATTCAGTGTGTCTTCATACCGCAGAGGTCCTAGCTTTAGTAGCAGAAGCCTTCACAATGTAGGCTCTGTTGGCCACAGAATGTCATCTGCAAACTACAATAATATGAGAGGCTCATATGGGTATGGGTGGTGGACATGGATCTGGACTAGGAGTTGGATCAGCCTTCAGCTCTAGAGTTGGTGGAGCATATGGTGGTGCTGGATATGGGGCTGGTGGTGGATTTGGTGCTGGTGGTGGATATGGGCTTGGTGCTGGTTTTGGTGCTGGTGGTGGATATGGTGTTGGTAGTGGTTTTGGAGCTGGTGGTGGGTTTGGATATGGAGCTGGATTTGGCTCAGGTGGTATCACAGCAGTTACTGTTAATCAAAGTCTTCTTACGCCACTCAATTTGGAAATTGATCCAAACATCCAAAGACTGAGGAAAGAAGAAAAGGATCAAATTAAAACATTGAACAACAGATTTGCCTCCTTCATAGACAAGGTACAATATGAAAACATATTTATTGTACACCAAAGAGTTGAATTTTGAGCATCCTCACTAATATGCCTCTGACAACTTATTTTCAGGTCCGATTTTTGGAGCAACAAAATAAAATGCTGGAAACTAAATGGACTTTGTTACAAGAACAAAAAACTGTAAGAAGCCATATAGAACCTTACTTTGAGGCTTACCTAAACAATCTGAGGAGGCAACTTGAAAATCTTGGTGGGGACAAAGTTCGGCTGGAGGCTGAGCTAAAAAGCATGCAAGATATTGTGGAGGATAACAAAAAGAAGTAAGTAAAATAGCATTGGATAACAACAAGGGACAGTTGTACAGAATACATTGATGTTGATAATGAGGAAAAGGAACAATTTCAAGTTGGAATAAACAGTTACAATTAATTTAATATGACTGCAATGTTGGACATTTGTTATGCTACTGCTGAGATGGGGACAGCTTCAACAGACGCACAAGCAAAACTGCCACTGTATAAAATGGCTGTAGTATTATGTAAGGCAGCCAAAAAATATTATCTCTGCAAGTATAAATGGATGGTTGCTGAAAACTTTGTGTGCAGTATATACAATATCCACTTACAATCCTGAAATTACTGTACATTTTCATTGTTCATTGATTTTATGTTGAAGTAGACATTGACTATTTGTTTGTATATATACAATTAGGTCCATGCATTGCTGATTTTTTTTTTTTCTTCTTTTTAAGGTATGAAGATGAAATTAACAAGCGCACAAATGCAGAAAATGAATTTGTTGTACTTAAAAAGGTGAGCACATACATATAAGTACAATGACTAAAGGGTTAGTTATAATATAATGTAGGCTCCTTCATGGGGCATGGAGTGATGTGTTGGATCAATGTTCTGAGGAACATGTTATCATTTTATAAATGAGTTAAAGTAGGAAATTTAAAACATGTAACTGACTGGTAAAGGGTATGCATATCAACTGTTTTAATGGTCAGAGCTGTACATTCTTGTTTTTCTCTACCTCTCTGTTGTCAGTCTGTATAAAGTGGTACATTAGCTTGTTTCTAAGCTGAATATTCACTGATGCTTTCTGATGCTCATCAGATGCTGCCATAATCCATTAATACAGTGTGTGCCCAGAGTTCTAATGTGCTGTATGCACATGCTTATGTATTTTTTTAAATATTTAATACATTGGTCTGTATGAGATTTATTTGCACCTGCATTTACATCTTCACTTGTAACTGGATTGTACATATGAGCTTTACTTGATAAGAAATTATTGACAGAGCATGCTGAAATGTGTTGTTCACAGCGTTTGGAGGGCAGCAGATTAGCCAAACCTAGTCTATGTAAAGTTTAATTAGATTTACATTTTCTCTAGTGTACTTAATCACAAATTGTATCACTATTTTGATATATAATTTGCTTTGATATTATGCCAGCAAACAGTACAAAGTGTATTTTGGCTATCATATGCCTTCCTGGTAAATATCCATTTTAGGCAATTTTAGTTTTAACCTATCAAAACCCTTTTCAGCCATTATATATTTCATTCAAATGACCAATATCTGCTCACAAATCTAATGGACAAATTGCATAACTGAGTGCTTCTTTGATTACATCTATATATTTATGTGGACATCTACTAACTGCTTCTGAAATTGAATTAGGTACACCAGTTGTAAGTTCAATAGTTGCCTATACTTGATGAATTTATTAAATACCATGGGCATTGACATGAAAATTAAGCAGAAGTGCAGGACATATAGCCCTTATTAACTTGAGTTCACTGTACTTCACCTTTCTTCACTGTACATCAAAGTTTAGTAACTCAAACCCATAGTGTGATGGATAGTGGCGGAAAGATAGATGACCAACATTCTATCAGTCTCTGAGATATCAACCATCAGTTGTCGCCATAACTTCATGTTGAATTTTGTTGTCTATTTTAAATTAATTCTCAACTCAAAACTTAAATATATGAATCTTTTAGGATGTGGATGGAGCCTTTATGAACAAATCAGAGCTGGAGGCCAAAGTGGGGATGCTGCACGATGAAATCAGCTTCCTTCGAGAAATATTTCCAACTGGTAATTATAATACATGTAATCCACTACACCTCTTAGGTTTGTTCACAGTGAGCACTTTTAACTAGATTATATGAGGCTATAAACTGGCATTTTGGCTTCCTCCCCGATATAAACATGAACCAAGCATAAAAATATAAATGGCAGACAACACAAGACACTCCCTTTTCTGGCAGAGCAGAATATTCACATTTTCTTGTACTTGAAGATCCACAGAAACTTATATTGAATCTAAACCTTTCTTACATGGTTATTTCAACTTATAAACAAGGGCACATTTGGTCCTCCATGTATTATAAATGTGAGCAAGTCACTACTGTTTCAGAAATTTAAAGTGGTATATCATTAAAAGAAAAAAAAACTGTGGCTAATGTGTTTGATTTGAAAATTACTGGAAATCTCTGTGAGCAAGTAAAAAAAAAATGTACACTGTTATAGAGTATATAATATGGCCATGCTATAGACTGCAAAATTAGGTGTCAGAATTTTTATTCAGATTATTTGGTCAAAGACAATCAATACTTTCTACATACCGTATGTCCTATGGACTGTTGAAGTATCCATTTATTTTTTACAATGAATGCAGCAGGTTCACAGTATCTTTATGACAGGGGATTGGGGACTTAAGTTGACCTTCCACCAGGATGGTTCATTCCTGAAAACTTTGTTTTGATTGCTGTGTCAATATTTTGAATTCTATATTCCATTTCGGGATTTTTTTCCAAACGAAAAAAAACACATTTACAATTAGATATTTATTGGTTTAATAAACCATTTCAATACTTCTCCTTTGAAAATCATCACTGATTTTACCACATTATGTATTATAAAATCAAACAAATGTTCCAAAAAATATTTTTTTTTTTTCAAATTAAATTCGACTGGTGTATGGCTAGCTTTAGATCCAAGACATAATGCAGGGTTTTCTTGTGCTGAAGTCAACATACAAAACATGATGTGCCAATTACTTGATTTTTTTTTCAACAATGTTTATTGTTGTATTTCAGGAAATAGATCAGCTCCATGCCCAAATCTCAGACACATCAGTCATTGTGTCCATGGACAACAGCCGAGATCTTGACATGGAAAGCATCATTGCAGAGGTCAAAGCTCAGTACGAGGACATGGCTAAAAAGAGTCGTTCTGAAGCAGAGACTTGGTATCAATCCAAGGTGAGTTCTGTTATTTGGTACGTGTGCTTATTTTAGTCAGTTGTATAGACACCACATTGATAAAAGGTTTGGTTGAGTTGTTGCATACAGTATGTGTTTTCTTCCTGCATGTTTCCTAATTTCCTTATGTGCTTGTTTTCAGTACGAGCAGCTGCGACTCAGTGTGGGAAAACATAGTGATGATTTACGGAACACTAAGAATGAAATTGCAGAATACAACAGAATGATAAGCAGAATCAGGGGTGAAATAGAAAATGTAAAGGCTCAGGTATGGTAATAAAAACATCACACCAACATCTAGTGTCTGAGAATGTAAACTTTAGGTCAGTGCCTGGGGCAATGTTTCCATCATCTCAACAGCTAGAAACACTGCAATACAGTGATTACACATACAGACAAGGTAATCTTTCACTGTTACCCACACTCCAGGGGATAATTAAAGTATAGTGGCAACACCAGATTGTTGTTTATAGTAAAAGAGCATCTATAGTACTTAGGTCTTGACCTCCTAAAAAAAACCCCAACTAGCAATGAGATCTTCCTCCAGCTGCTGTTTGAGGTGCTTGGTGCTATTGCAGATTTTTTTGGTTGAGGAAACACAAAATCTGTAGAAGGAGAGCTCCTTCCATGCTATCAAACAACAATGTCCTATAGGCAAAGATTTCCAGTTTTCCTGAAAATCCCTTTAAAAATAAATTACACATAGAAAAGCTATTATGATTTAACAGCATTATGCTGCTAAATGTAGTCATTATTGTGATTGTGTTCTCCCTGAAAAAGTTGTAGTAAATCTGTACAATGATTGGCTATATGGTCAGTTATTACAGATAGAGCCAAACAGGATATCCAACACTAATGGGTGCGTGGGTGGATATTATTCAAAACCTTGCAGATGTGAGTTCTCAATTCACCCAGGGATTGAATTTTTGGGTGAACGTACTATTGAGTAACAAGATGATATCATTAAATGCCACCTTCACCCTAAACTTACTACTATATATCTGTATAAATTAAAACTCTGTGATGAAAAAAAAAATGTAGCCCAATAACCTTTACATTTTAGTTATAACTTGGGCATCTTGGTGGATAAATGACCAAAACTCATGCTTGACAAGGCTGAAATCCCACATATGATTCCCACCAATGACACTGTCTGCCATTATTTGTACTGTATGTTTTGCCTGGGTTTCATGGTGTTTTCACTGATAGTCCAAAATATACCTGAAGGTTATTTGGTTTCCATCCAAACTGGCACTAAATTGTAAGCTCCTTTTGGACAGAGACTGTTGTAAATGGTTTGACCTTCTCTCCACAGTGTTGCAGAAACATATTAGTGCTATCTGAATAAGATAAATAATAGCAAGGTATATAGTATACATTATATATCAACATGGTTTTTATTATCCAAAGCGTGCTAAGCTAGAAGCTGCCATAGCAGAAGCAGAGGAACGTGGGGAAGCTGCAATCCGAGATGCCAAGAATAAACTGTTAGAGCTGGAAGATGCACTGCAAAAGGCCAAGCAGGAGATGGCTCGCCTATTGAGAGACTATCAGGAACTGATGAATTCAAAATTGGCTCTAGATATTGAGATTGCCACTTACAGGAAGCTCTTGGAAGGAGAGGAATCCAGGTAAACATACAAAGCATTACTATTTACTTCTAATAGTAACACGGGTTGATTTAATAAAACTGGTGCACACAGAATCTGATGCAGCTGTGCATAGTATATAAAAGAAAATGTATTTTCTGGTGTTCAGGGAAAGAGTAGCAGCAGTTCACTAATTGTTTCACTATCGTTTCAGAATATATATTTTTTCACACATTTATTCACATATTGTATTGTCTGGGGTGTAGCACAGGTTTTTTTTTTCCCTTTTGTAGCTGTGTATATTAACCAGTCAGCTTCTAGGTTTTATTGTCAAAGCTTAATTGAACAAGCTGAAGTTAGAAGATGATTGGTTCCTGTGCACGGCTGCAACAGATTCTGTGTGCACCGGTTTTAGTAACTATTACCCATTGGGAAAGGCAGAAAACATCAAGATGCATTTTTGCATTCTGCTAATAATGCAGTGTTATGGATTGATACTTCATCTGTTTATTACTAAAATATTATTATTATTACTATCCTTCTAATAAATACATTTTTCTTGTCAGAATGTCTGGAGATGGAGGCTGTGTCAGCATCTGTAAGTACTGTGTACAACTTAGACTTTTTGTTTAATAACAGGGAGTGATACTTGTTATCAGATTTAACTTCTATGAAACTTATGAGACCCAATGGAGATTAGCTAGCCAAAATGAGGCACCTGCAGATTTCATATTGGAAATAGGTTAGAACATTTTGTCTATTCATTGATTCTTTACTTGACAAGCCAGTTCTTTGGAATGCCTCTCCCTATTTTGCTCCATTGTCTAAATATCAACCATTTATATGATCTGGAGGTCAGACTAGGCCTGCATGTCCAATTGCCTGCTAGTGTATATGCCCAGCTTTACATTAAAAAGTTTTTCTAGATATTGTAAAAAAAGGTCTTGCCTTTTTCAAGTTCAACTTTGACATGCCATATGATGGAATTCCCTCCTACAAATAATCTACTGCTTCCTCAAGGAATGGAAATCTGTCAGTAATTATAAAAAATAAGAAAAGGCTTTTTTTACACAACTACAAGCAGCTTTCACTCAGCATATAGCTGTGATTCCCAGTACTGAAGATAAGCCTCTCTTTGCTCAATACTACAGTTGCAAATTCAAAGGTTCCCAGTAGCAGAAGCAGTGGCCCGTACTGCTTACTAGACATAATGGAAATATTTTACCACTTGCATCCCACCATACTGTCTTACAAGCCCCTAACAGAAGGCATAAGCAATGTCTAAAAATAAATACGTTATCCAAAATACTCCCCATTACCAGAAGCACTAATTCAATATTTATAAGATCTATAAATTTGACTACTGCCTTGTGAAGGCGAAGCCCAAATGACTGGAGTTGTTGTTGCCCCCAAATGCACAATATTAATCACAGTCTGTGACCAGATTAATGTTTATCAAAACTAATTAATCCTTGATAAGCAACAATATCCAGTAATGTTCCTCTTATACCAAAGAAAACCAGAACAACTACTAGTAATTAGCACTGCTTAAACTGCTGGCGCTGTGTAAATCCTATATAATTATAATTACTGCTACAGTCTTCCCACCATTGTGCCTGTAGCCTCTCACCCCACTTGCTGCTAGTAAGGTTGCATTTTATTTATGTGGACTCAGTAAGGAATATTTTTCTTTTTATCCAGCAGGAAAAAATGTAAAAGGCAGATTTTGTTGGATATCCCTACTACAAACCAATTTAAAGTTTAAGTGAGTAACTGATGTGCAGAGCAGATTAGAAAAAAAATCCACTCATATGCTGGCAGCCAGTATCGATTTAGCCTTTACTATTTAGAATGAGAACACTAATAGAAAGCTTACTTCTAGTTGGTTATCATGCTGCTTTACTTTGTGCATATTTATTTGCCTTGTTAAAAAAAAGAGTTTCGGTTTTATTTTTTTTGCATGGTTGTCAAAAGCTATTCTTTTTTTCTTACAGCGGTGGTGAGCTCCACTACTGGTGGAATAATTGGAGGTGGAGGGTATGAAGGAGGCAGCGGATTCCACCATGGAGGGTCAGGATTAAGCTCAGGATTCAGCTCTGGAAGTACAAGCGGAAGGGGCTTAGCCGGCGGCAGATTTAGCTCTGGAAGTAGCATGAGCTCTAGCGGTGGATATACCACCACAGGAGGAATCAACAGCAGCTCCGTTGGAGGATCAACAATCTCTGGCGGGTACACTTCAGGTGGTAGTGGCACCTCTTCTATTAGTGTCACAAAAACTTCAACCACAACCACAAGAAAAATCTGAATTCCTAAAAGCTATGACATGCAATCTTCTGACCTGCAAATATCTTGTGCTCTAATGGGTTTCTAATTCTTCAGTTTCTTTGACAAACAATCCAAATTCACAAAATATCACAAAATTATTTTAAAGAAATGTGATGCTCAGTCATTTTGCTGCCCAGTGTGTTATCTGGCAATGTATGACCAATATTGTACCATGCATCCCATGTTTCTTTGCATAATGCACTAAAAAGAATAGATGTAACAAAGGCTGCTATGCAGGTATCTGAGACACCTGTGACTGCAGTTAGTAAAACCTAGTGCCATAAACTGTGTCAGTCTATGTGCATTGTAAATTTATTTCCAATTTATTATCTACTGTTCCCTTTGGCTATGCATTGACATTTGGTTGCATAAAACAGCTTTCCTTACAGTGTAAAATACATTTTATTTTGCAAGTCAGTCCTTTTAAGCATATTACCAGTCCAAGCTCAAGGTAGCAACTTAGTCACCACTGCCCAGCACAGTTGATCTGCATAATGTGTTGATTCACTGCTTCATATATGTGGTCTTGCTAAAAAGGCTTGTTGATGCATCCCACCTAATGAACCTAAGTCATGGTTTCAATTGGCTATGTCTAATTCATATGTTCCTCTGCTGAAACAGAGGAAAACCAAAAAACATCTATTATAATTTGTTGTGAAATAAAATCCTAAAAATAGGTATATGTGGGAAGTCTACAGCTAGTCAGATGGTTGCTTTCATTTTCTGATGTTATCAATATTACAATAAGAATCTGTTTAATTGCTATTGGTTATACACCTCAATGTATAAATACCCATCTACCAATTTTCCCTATTGGTTTCTAAAACAGAATAGAGCTAAACAAATGGAAATATGCTGTGGTGTGTCTTTCTATCTTTTTTTTTCCTGACTCTGATATGTAAGTTTGGCTTTTGTGTTTGTTTTAACTAAACATGCTAATAAAGTGACAACTTTTGCAGTATCGTTGCCTGTTTTCTTAAGTGAATATAGACAAACTTTTTTAAAATGTGATAGTGAACTCCATGCAGGTACAACAACACAATGTAATGATGAATTCCTTTTAAATTAATTAAATGTATTTTTGAAAACAGCTAGTATAAGTACCTAAATCCATTTAGATCTACATCAGCCATCTATCATCCCATTTAATGCAGCATTCAAACTAGAGAGGGAGAGGCAGCTCTGGAAGCCAATCAGGTTCTGCTACATGCATATGTGCTCACATGGAATATGCAGACAAATGGCTTCTACCTGTGTTGCTGCTTCTTCACTGTCCAATCAACAGGCTGTGAGCAGGATGGTGACACAACTATTTCTTAAAGCTACAAGAGTAAGTAGTGTCAACCTCCTGGCTGTTCTGTTTTGCAGAGGTGTTTAAATGGCAAAGGTAGGTTCAAATAACTGGAAATGCCTTGGGAGGTAAGACTATGCACATGCATATGCATTTAAACAATGCATGAATTTGTTTGCCTGCAGTTCATCTTTCATATATTGCTTTTACCAGAACAAAGGTTCTTTATAAGTTTAAAGAATCCCTAACCTAAATTCCTAATAGGACCACCTATCTAAAACAAATGCAGTTGTTTTAGGCTGACTGTCAAATACCCAGATCTGTGTGGACTGTCATTCACATAGAAAGCAGCATAGCTCTTCAACTCTGCTAATTAAAGTGTTACTAAACCCACAACAATAAACTCAGTCTGTATATGCAGTAAAGCATGCTTTTTATACTCACTATGGAACCTAAGGGGTTAATCCTCTGCATTGTGTAAAAAGGCCATTTGATCCTGGCTTCTCGGCTCCTCCTCTTATTCAATTGTCCACATCTTATATCCTGATAAGACAGACGGAACTGTATTCATTCTGCACATGCTCAGTTTGGAGTGTATTGCTAGAGAGGTTTTTTTTTTTCTTGGGAGAGTGCATGTGATCAGCACAGGACAAATCAGCACTGTTCAGACAGAGGTCAGGAGTTTTGCATCCTCCTGGAGCAGAAAGAAAACTCCTCCTACAAGCTTTAACCTGTGCTCTGCTGAACACTGATAGAAGTCACAAGATTGCTTTAACTACTGATGAGAAAAGGTATTTAGCAGTTTATATTTACTAAAATAATTGCACTTCCATGTTCTCTGTACTGTGGGAGACCAGATATGAATGCAGAGTCCTGGGTTTAGTAACACTTTAAGGACTCAGAGCAGAGGAGGTGTCTGAGCTCGGATCCCTGTCAAACAGTTGAAAGGGGAAAAAGGAGTTGTTCCACCTCATACTCTGTAAATCAGTTAAAATTCGTTTTAAAAAGCTGTTCCAAAATTGTCGCATATTTCTAGAACTGGTTGGCTGTTTAGATGCAGAATGCAGAAGCACTGAAATCAGTAACAAATTAACTGGGTTGAAGCAGTTGTGACTGGGCCCTTGCTCGGGGGGAAACTTGGCCTAAACTCTTTTACTGGCCCATAGTGTACTTTCACTAATACATAGCACTAAGCATATGAGCCATATTTCCCATTGCACAGCAGTGCAGGGAAGCTACAGGCCCACACAAGGATGCAGTGACATTGCTCCACATGTCCCCTGTGCTTGGCCATGTGATCTAACCTTAAATGATCAAGCACAAAAGGACACTGCGAATGAGTCTTTGCACCAGCTCTGTAGCTTCTCCAGGTTATTCTGCAGTTTTGGCTTCAGAACATCCTTCGTGCTCTGCAGTATTGCAAGTGCTCA